AGAATAGAAGCTTCCCAGGGTTGAAGTATAATATTTGTATTAAAAAATAAATTGATATATTTTCTTTTGATTAAATTTATTGTACAATTCAGATAAAAGAGTCGGTAAAAACTACTTATGTACAATAGATTTACCGAGTTCTTACTGTTTGATGTTCGAAAAGATATATTTACATAAATCATTTTAGTTTTGAAGGATGGATTTCAGGTACCGAGAAAGTGGTCCAATTCACGAATCTATTCAACAACCTAAGTCGGCGGTATAATACATACAGAATTGATCGTATAATGATTACTAACCTCAGTGAAGGGACAATCGCTTAGTTGGTTGCTGTTTTGATCATGATATGGCATTGCTATTTTATATGTACATATATGTATGTATATATATATAAATTTGGATTAACAATTGGAACATCTTTTAATTTAATCTTAATGATATGAGCTTATACGTTTTTGTTACACTTTTTCCACTTTCCATTATTTTACTTTCGGTCATTAAATTTGATTGAAAAGCAAAGTCTTTAAAAAAATACCGCTCAAGGTACCAAGGTAACAACCGCCAACATTCAGGCTTTGTTTGTTTCGCTGGCATTTGGATGACGTGTTTCTCTTTGGCCACCTCATGACGTGGTCGTTCGCTGATTTTGCTCTGAATGGCGGGTTCTGTGTAAATATGTACATACATACACGTATGTACATATACATAGATAGAAAACAACGCCTATGTTAGTTGCGCATTAAATATTTACTTGTTTTTTCTCTCACGATTTTGTAATTCGGAAACTAAATTGCAATTTATTGATAGAGTCGATTCCCCATTCGTTGAGGAAATCGAAAATACTTTGAGTTAGACAAAAACAAAAACAAACAAAAACCTATGCACATGAATATATATGCATTTGAATATATACATACTTACTACAAGTAGTATACATATGTATGTGGATGCACTGATAGTATTCCAGTCATTATTTGTAAGTTTATTCAAGCATTGCAGACTGCACGTTGCTCAATGATCTCTATGCTGTTTTCCATTTGGTTTTTAGCTAATGTTGTTGTACAACAATAACCATGAAAATCGTAGCAATAAAAATGGAAAACGCGCACTTTGCATGCGCGTGTCGTATGTTTGTGAAAAACATTTAATATTGATTAAACCTGTAGTTACAATTGTAATTACACAGTCGTTGTTGGTGCTGATGTTGTTGGAATTCAATTAAACTATTAAATTAGTTTCACTTGATAAATATGTATTGGCACACAGAAAGAAAAAATAGCTGAACTTGTCATGGTCGACAAGTCCAATTATGATTTTGGGGGGAAATGATAATTTTTCAATTAAAGCATCAACTTATTAAATTTTTCACGAATTTTCATCCAATTATAATATTTAAATAAATATGTGCTTTTGCACAGATTATAAAAATGAATGATTTCGTTATTATAAGCTACAATATTAAAATTAAAACCTTTCCCAAGAGGCTAGAATTTTGAATTTCCTGAAGTTGACAATTAAATGGAAATGATAATCAAATGGCTCTTTCTTTCAATCAGTTCAAGTCCCTTTATTTTTAAGGGGAAGAAGGAAATGGGTTTGGTTCAAATTGATACTGAATGAATATTCATTTTCTGTTCCATACTAAAAAGTAAAACCAGAGATTACAGTTTATCATATATTGGTAAAATTGCAGCATAAAAACATACATATTCTCAAAAGATGTGTTTGGAAATTGATCTCTCTTTTTTCTGTGTGGATAAAGCAACTCAAGTGGAAACGAGTCTTCTGGCAGTAATTCAAGTGAAAACATTTTCTCAACTAGATGTAAAGTTTGATTTTTTCAAAGCATGCTACCTTGGATGCTAGATTTTGTTGTTGCTGTTGGTGTTCTGCGTTACGCATACGCCGCATGTGGTTATAGCCAAAATCATTATCTAATACTTGTGTTTGAAGGTCTTTCTAGGTCCTTTTCTAATTTTGGCAAAACAAAAAATACATAGCGCATGCATATGTTAGCACGAAAATGTATACACACATATGTATGTACATACGAGCAGCTATCTAGTAGTTCGTCATTTATTCAATCAGCTGCGGTTGTCGGCACAATACTTTTCCCACTTACGCAATTGTGTGATAGGCTGTTTGAGGTTCAAAGTGCAAACGTGTCCGCAATCAAGCTATGCGAACGATTTCCTCATTGTCTTAATCCGAACTACTTATGTGGCAAGTGTTACACATGAAGCTTCAGCTGCAGCCATTTTTTTTTTTTTTTTTTTTTTTTTTTTTGCTATAGCCCGTTCTATTCCCCCACTCAGACACCGTTGAACGTTGTTTAACTTTGATCAGGGTCACGATCATTAGCTCTATATGTGCAGGCATGGGCGTCGTGTGCGCTCAAAGTTCAACAGTTTGACGTGTGTTAAAAAACAGTTTGTATAGCGAACTTTATAACTAAGTACGTATTTGTCTATTGTGAAGCTTTAGGGCTTGATGTGTGTGATTATTGCTGACACATACATAGTAGATAAAAGCATACAATGCATAGCTTTCCAACTATGCGCTCTAAATGTATACATATTTTGAAATACAATATTATTTCAATAACTATTTTCATTAACCTTGCATCTGTGTACCTCTTTGAACTTTGTTGCAATTGAAAAAGACAAAGGAAGCTGCTGTTTTCACAGCACTTAACTTTTGACCGCCGACCATTATTAAGTGTTGGTAAGTTAGATTTGAATTATTTTACCGTGTAAGGCGGTTATATGTTAGCTGCAATAGATTCCTTCTCGTCCTCAGAGCAGACTACAGCAACTTGTGCAAACAGTAGAATAGCTAGTGAAGAAGAGTAAGATCAGCAGTCAGTTATATGTAAGTTAGTCGTCAACGGTCGTCTAAGCAGTGAGTTGTGAGAAATCGCGATCAGCAGTTAGTAGTGAACAGCTAAGTATGAGCAGTGACACCGAATTTGAGGCAATCCTATGTTCCTTATATGCGGCTTATGTTAAATAATCCAATATTATATATAAAAGTTAATGTAAAAGACATCTAGTACATCAACAAGTTTCAAAAATTGATCATGTTATGCTTATTATTGTTATTGCATATACGTTGTATTTAAACAAGAGTTTTGGTTAAACTAATATTTTTTGTGTTTCGTATTTCAAACAATATTATAAACACGAGGCAATTAGCAAAGGAATTTCCATTTAAGTGTCTTAATTGTTCCCAAATATCTGGTCAACTCAGTTGCAGAGTGTGTTTACAATATTTTCTCTATCCAATTTTGTTGTAAGCAAAACACGTTTTTATTGCTTTTTACAGAGGTTTGTTTTATTTACTTTTTCTTATTGTTGCTCATGGGCCTCTTTCTCCTTACCTGTGCTACTGCAGTTCAATGGCCGCGATGCGTAAACATAACGCCAACAATAATAACAAGAGGGGCTGGGGGAGCACGACACATTCTCACAAGTGACGGCATTTCGTTTATCGCAAAAATTTTATAAACAATACAAACTTCATCGTAAACCCTTGATGAGACTGCCTTTCAAGAATGGGGGCTTAGGAATCGATTGCATGTACGCGTATATGAGAGGCCGCTTGCATAACCTGTACTTTGTTACTTTGTAACTTTGAACGCAGGCAATACAGTTATTGACGGCAATAAATTCTGAAGAATTCTGCAACCAATCAGCGATATTCGATATGTCAGAATGCTTGAAAGTAAGCAGAAATTGTCGCTCAATGTTTGTTCTGTGGACTTTGCACAGCGTTTGACTTAGAAAAATGTTTGCCGATTGGGCAGGTGTAGCTGTTTTTCTGTACATAAACAAATATCCCACATATTCCATCGAAAAAATAATATTAACCTGCCATATATCAGTAATACTACCTTTTGCGAAAATAGTAATTGTTCGTACAAAATAAAATATTTCGATATTTTCGAAAAAATGCCATATTTAAACAAAATAAGTGCACAACATTTGTTTGAAAGTTTAAAATGAACATGGTTTCTCAAATAAACCTAACAATATTTCTATACTACCAACATAATTTTCTTATACATACTTATAAGGCAAGTTGTTATGATAAAACCCTCCAATCTAAAAAACCTAGATATAAATAAATCTCTTAAAATTACAAAATATATTTTATAACACTCTCCTACTCTTTTGAGGAATTAGAACAATTACAACAGAGCCGTGTGTGGTAAGAGATTTTTCCGGAGATAACTTAGAGGTTCGAAAGAGTACGTTTGAGAGAGTGGAGGAAAGGATCATTGCAATTCGGCTATATAACTCAATAACAATCGTCCAATCCATATTGAGTTGAGCATCTATTAAAGACTTAGTTGTTCAATTAGTAACACAAGTTTATCTGCAAATCGCTTGCATGTCCGACTCAAGACTCAGTTAAGTTAATGTTTTGATGCACACCCACGTACTCGCTCTACTCACTAAGACAGGTTCCCTTCCTTTTCGTTTACCTTTTCTTTACCCATTACATTTATCAGACATTGTTTTTAGTTGTAATTAATAAATTAATATCCCGCCCTATTTATCATTGCCACTCCATACTACATTTGCATATTTTCTTGTTTGCTTGCAGGTAAATAAATCGACAACCCCCCAATGTTGAATGTTGTGCCAAACCATCATCACTTATTGTTGCAACCATTTGTTTGTCTCTCCATAGCTAACTGCGTAGACTACGCATTGTGCACAAATTGTGAAGAATAAGCATCACTCACAATAGCTGCTTATTACTCAACTGTACCCCTGTAATTGGCTGAAAGGATCACAGAAGCGCTCGTTCCCGTCGTTCACGTTACATTGCTCTCTTACTTGTCCACTCGCTCTTTGTGTGTGTGTGTGTGCGTGGGTGCGTGCGTACGTGCGTGCGCGCTTTCTCTCTCTCGCTCGTTCTTTTGTCATTCGTCATCCATTCATTAACGCTACTTGGTTTATTGTTGACGGCTGGGCCCACCAAACGGCTACAAGATGTTCATCGAAGATGACGCGCAGTAAGTAATATTTCCCATTACATTCACAATTTTATCACATTTGGGGTTTTGGTGCTGGCTCGAATTATTAATATTGAATGAATGATTAGAAATCCCTCCAATAATTTGCTAAAAATATTAAAAAAGCACACCACCAACAACGTGGTCAGCAAGTTCAAGAACGCGATTTTTCTTAAATTAGTTTTGACACCTTATCAGCATTGAACGTACTCAAAAATTTGATTGCCTTCCATTTGGACAATCGTTGTCAATTGCTCTAAAACACTACGCATACATTATCAAGTTCAAGTACATTTAAAAATAAATTATCAGGCATTTAATTTCCCAATTATGACCGTTTTAATTCATAAGTTATTATTGTTAATGTGTTTATTTCCGAAATCAGGTGTTTATTCCACATTACGTGTAGTTAAATTTGAACAACAGTTGAGTTAGAGATTCAATAATGAGGCTACAATTATTAGACTAATTAACATGAAAGAACCACTGCACACTGGCCGAAAAAGCAAAAGTTCGGACATAAATATGTACAAATTTTAAATACAGAAAAAATCTCTTAGTATTTTGATAGAATATAGACAAAGGGAGAAAAATACAAATTTAAAAATTTGTTTGTGCAATCCTGGTTTTTTTCGACGCCCTTAAAGTCAGATGATTTTAAGCTTCATTATTTTTTTGCTGTTTGTGTTATGCTGTGTTTGGCTTTGCTTTTACGTGTTATTGTCGTGTTGTTTTGTTTTTGGAAATCTAACCTATAAGTTACGTGTTTTATGGAGTAAAAGTAGGCAATATTCTCGCTCCTTCTCCAGACAAGTAATGCATTTGTGTTCAGTAATATGTGTTTAACATAATGTAACTAAATTTTTGGCGCCTTTGGTAAATATTTGAAGATGTTGCAGACAAGTTTAAATTTATTCATGAGGAAATGCTTGAGATTTGGATTAAAGTGGGCGTAAAGCTGAGGCGATTACCAATTGGGTGTTTGGAAAGCACATTAAAAATATACAGCCAGAGAAGAAAACATAAATTTCACCTCATACATTAACAAATGTATGCCAAAAGGCCAAAGGAAAATATTAAAATTTCGGATCCGTTAATATTGAGCCTTCCATTAAATAAAAACCTCACGAAAAACATGGATAAGCTGCCGTCAGAATCGATTGTCCTTTTGGCTGAGCCAGCCCTTATAGTAAAAGAAGATAATATTAAACCTGATATAGACTAGAATTCGGATTATGAAAACGTAATTCCCCTTCACTTCAGATAGAGGCTGAAGAATTTAAAAAAAATACAAGTATATATAAATTTCATAAATTATAAATAATATATATACAATATACAATTTAATATGGTTAATATGGGAGATAAGAGTGGGCGTGGTCCGATCAACCTGAAATTGTTTCCAATTTTTATATTTATTACAATCGACTGTACCAAATTGAAAGTCCCTGCGAACTTTTGCTTTTTCAGCCAGTGTGCACAGGCATGAAACCATTTAAATTCACAGCGTTGATAATGATCCAATACGTAAACGAATTATTTGATATATAAAAAAAAAGCAAATATCACGCCACCATTTTTAGTGAAATTCAGAATTATGTCTATGCTCGCTTTGCCGTGCGTTGACTTTGTTGTTGTTGTGTTTGATAAGACGCTCAAATTGAAAGTGCAAACGCTAATGCGCTTATTAGCATCGAAACCCGGGAATGAGCTGCCAAAATGGTAATTAGGAGAGCAAATCTCAGCTGCTGTAGCTTCAGATCTACTGAGATAAAACAAATGACCTTGGAGTCGTTGTCCGACGCTTTTGTTTCTGTTCTTAACACACCCTTCTCTCTCTCTCTATCTCCATAAAGGTGTTAGAAAAGTGTAAACAAAAGTATTTTAAATGTGGCACTCTGTAATATTGCTTATGAGTATTGTAGTTGAGTTTATATTGACTTAATTAGATTCATCCGTGCTTGAATTTTGAGTAATTGTACATTTGTATCAAAATGTAAATTTGATTTTTGTACAGAATTGCTCGTGTTTTGTCGAGTCGATGTAGACTTGCCCGTATGTATCTCAGGAAGTATACATGCTGGAGTAAAGAAATGTGATATTCATGTTCCCACCCATAAATTGTCTAACTCATGAGAAACATGAAGTGCCCAAAATGTAGTTCTAATGTTCTTCTTCTAATTTGAAGAAAAGCCCGGAAATATCACACATAATACTCGAGGGATAGCAAGGGCTGTTGATGAAGTTCTTAAATAATTAATGAAAATAATGATGATAATAATAATAATTAAAATAATAAATAATATTTAATGAAAATATTATCATCGATATTTGTACCATGAGTTATTCACTGGAACATTTTGGCGGAGCAATATTCAAAGTTGTTTGTTTTTTGGTATTATCGACAAATATTCTAGAATGTATAATCGTTCTACAACGTTTCAAGTATACTTATGAGCAACTCGATGGTTACAAACCCAAAGCGCTTTCACAATTGAATCAATACGATTCTGCCTACAAAATACAACTGTATTTTTGTAGTTTTAGCTCAACTTCAAGAGCTTTTGAAACGGTCTTACACAACCGTAACTGCCATTGCTGATAGGCAGTTCATTAGTGTCTGTACCTTCTGATAACAACATATCCCCAGACACTTTAACCAAAACACTCACTCACACACATTAATTTTCCAGCATTTTTTTGAGAGACGTGTGTGTGATTCGTGTTCGACTAAGTGAAATCTTAGCAGTTTGTAATTGCCACATTACACTCGACCCACTCTCCCGGACTGATACTTGACGGTACTTGCAATCAATAGCTGCACTATCTCGAAGAGTCACATTTCGCTGACTGTGTGCTTTACAGGCTAGTAATCTGACGTTTTCGACGACGTTTAGTAGACGATGACGCTGATAAAATTCCAAATGACTTCCAATGTTATCGCGGCACGGCTCGTGGATTTTCAAATGAATTCTAAAGCATTTTCTGAGCAGTCTCGAATGAGAGCGGTGACGGTATTTAAGTGAGCGCGCCATAAACCCTTCCAGTCGGTTGGCCAGCTAAAGATTTGCTAACTTTTGAAAATGATATCAGTCGATTTTGGTGTGCGCCAGCGCTAGGAACCCCTTGGCTAGGAAATCGGGTACATATTATATTTGTGGGCAACACAGCTAGAGAGTGTTGAAAATTGATTTTATGCACTTGATTTGCATGTAAATTGCAGCTAATTGAATGTCGTTTTATTTCCCACATACAGAATGGACAGCTTCTGGGTGCAGGGCGCAATTGGTGCCATCAAAGCCATTTCATTTTTCTACGACATCATAACGCTGCCGGTCTATTTGGTGTTACAGGCGCCCTGGAAACGTCGACAGGACTCGAGGCGTGTCAAGGTAAGTACAAGAGAAGTTTCAGAATGAAATCTCCAAATTATAGAGCTATTCAAGATCAGATACGAAGATCGATGATCTGTGATCGAAAGTGTTCCAACTGTTGCTGTGGAACTATTATCTATAATTTACGGTGAAGTGCTGCTTTCATACTCTAGCTTAGATTTGCAATCGTATGTTTAATTTCACCAGCATTTTTATATTTTATTGCGATTGCAACTATCAGGTCTTTTGCGAGTATGTACAATTTCATTTAGTACATATGTATACTATCCGTGACCTTGTATTCCGAAACATGTTCTAACTACGTATGCTTTGCACCGGCAATGTGTTTTTTTTTTCTTTTCTATAATCTATGTACACAGCGACTCTTGATTTATTGTATGGCCGTGTGCGCTTCCACTATCAGTTTTGCTTTTTATGGCATAATTAGTAATGCTTTTTTATTATTCGTCTATTCGTTTTTTGCGCCTTTGTTTTGGGGGGTCTGTTTCGCAGATGACAAATCGTTGAAAACTGATTTTATAGTTTTTATAGTATTAGGAACGCGTTAAGCTAAGTATGTGTCACTAATCCACTGAAAATCATTCTATTGGGAAAAAGAAATAAGAAATGGAAGGCGCTTGCTATTAACAATTGTGAAATAACGTTTCTAGTTCGCACCTCTAATAAAATAAGTGTTTCTTTGGCTCATGATATCACATTTTCTACGCCTCTGATTGATTAGCCAAGTTTCGATAAGGAATGCCGCCTTCATACGAGAGTGCACTTTCGGAGCGGCCATATACGGGTATAGTAAGTGGCGATAAAGTTCTTTCGGAAATCAAGTGCAATTATAAATAGATTACAGATTGTTTGACGCCTAATTTGATTAACCTATAGCTAATTGGAATTTTCCTTTCCACCATCGCAGGCCATACCCATAAACAAGAAAATGTTGGTCGATGAATCCAAGTACCCGCCGGATGATATCGAGGTTTTATACGAATTTGTGTTATTAATTTTTTTTTTTTTTTGGGTGCCCTTTTTTTATAATTTATTTTACGGAACAGACAAAATTACACATACTTGCACATAAGCACACAGATACACACACATGTATGTACATAAATGTTCACGGCATTGGCGGACTTTCGAAGAGCTCTTTCGAATCAGAGCTTGTCCAAATTTTGCACCTCCACATGGCCTTCTTCAATGGTGTCAGTGTTATTTTTCCAGTGTTATATTTTCCACTTAACTATAACCTGAATTGGCACAACTCTTCTAATATCCCTTCCTTGTTTTCGGATTCAACGTCAACTGGTCCTTCTAACTATCGCCACATTTATATTTCCTCGTAACTCTTGGCTCAAGGCGTTCTTGGTGTTTCCCATTTTCAAATCGGCTCTCATCAGCTTTGAAGACGCAAACTGATATTGTTTTTATTGTTCTTGCAGGCCAAAGTAACCACCAGTGATGAGAGTTCACTGACGTACCGCACCACAGAGCCGCCCCGTGAGGTTCACGTGAAGATGCTTCAAGAAAACATCGACACGCTGGAGAAAGTTTTCAACTACGTAGCCAAAACGCATTCCTCGAAGCGTTGCCTGGGCACACGTCAAATCCTCAGCGAGGAGGACGAGGTGCAGCCGAATGGGCGCGTCTTCAAGAAGTACAACATGGGTGACTACAAGTGGAAGAACTTTACAGAAGCGGAGCGCATGGCGGCGGCTTTTGGGCGCGGTCTGCGCGAGTTGGGCCAGGCGCCCCGTCAGAACATTGTCATCTTTGCCGAGACGCGGGCCGAATGGATGATTGCCGCCCATGGTTGCTTCAAGCAGGCCATGCCAATTGTGACGGTCTATGCAACATTGGGTGACGACGGCGTGGCACATTGTAAGTGCAATTTTTGTCATATTTTGTGTGCATTACTAATATCTTTTGTGGCTGCAGGCATCACCGAGACGGAAGTAACCACAGTCATAACATCTCATGATCTCTTGCCCAAATTCAAAAGCCTACTGGACAAATGCCCCAAGGTCAATACGATTATCTATATGGAGGATCAACTGCACAAAACTGAAACAACAGGCTTTAATAATGGCGTTAGGATATTGCCGTTTACACAGGTCGTCAAAATGGGGCAGGAAAATAAATTCGGTGAGGTCAAAGAATTAGATTTTGGATTCAAGGACCATTGCTTAATCATTCACCATTTAATTTATAGAAAATGTTCCACCCAAGGGCAACGATATTGCCATCATCATGTACACTTCCGGCTCCACAGGAACTCCCAAAGGCGTACTGTTGTCGCACAAGAATTGCATTGCCACTATGAAGGGCTTCTGCGACGTAGTGCCGATATATCCGGACGATGTGCTCATTGGTTTCCTGCCGCTCGCCCATGTCTTCGAACTCGTCGCTGAGAGCGTTTGCCTCATGACCGGCGTCTCCATTGGCTACTCCACACCCCTGACGCTGATAGACACCAGTAGTAAGATCAAGCGAGGCTGCAAAGGTGATGCCACTGTTTTGAAACCCACATGCATGACTTCCGTGCCACTCATACTCGATCGCATCTCCAAGGGTATTAACGACAAGGTCAATTCGGGATCTGCCTTCAAGAAGGCACTCTTCAAGTTTCTTTATCAATACAAAGTGAGGTGGATTCAACGTGGCTATCAGACGCCCCTGATTGACAAGTAAGCATGTCCTGCCGTATCGAAGCAATTCATGCTAATACTCCCTTTTATAACTTTGTAGACTGGTCTTCAAGAAGGTGGCCAAGCTGATGGGCGGAAAGGTGCGGATCATGATGTCGGGCGGTGCACCACTTTCGTCGGACACACATGAACAGATCAAGACATGTCTTTGCGTGGACTTAATACAAGGCTATGGACTAACCGAAACCACATCCGGAGCCACTGTCATGGACTGTAAGTTGAAAGCGTAAACATAGAATATAACCTAGAATTGGTGTTATTAATATGTATGATTAAACAGATCGCGACATGACATATGGCCGCACTGGTGCTCCCCTTACTGTTTGCGACATTCGTCTGGTAAACTGGGAGGAAGGACATTATCGTGTGACAAACAAACCGTATCCACAAGGCGAAGTGCTCATCGGCGGCGATTGCGTCTCACAGGGCTACTATAAACTACCCGGAAAATCTGCTGAGGATTTCTTCGAAGAGGACGGACGTCGGTGGTTCAAAACGGGCGACATTGGTGAAGTGCACCCCGATGGCGTACTTAAGATCATTGGTAAGGAGACAAGTTCCCCAATAAACCTATTATTACATAAATGATTAACAAGATGTGTTATATTGTAGACCGCAAGAAGGATTTGGTCAAGCTGCAGGCTGGTGAATATGTGTCCCTGGGCAAGGTCGAATCAGAGCTAAAAACATGCGGATTTATTGAGAACATATGCGTTTATGGTGATCCAACAAAGCAATTTACTGTCGCACTGGTCGTACCGAATCAGAAACATTTGGAGGAGCTGGCCGAACGTCACGGCATGTTTGGAAAATCGTTTGAGGAGCTGTGCTCATCGCCAACCATGGAGAAGGCCATATTGAAAGAAATTGCGGACCATGCGCGAAAATGTAAGTTCCATGGAGACAACAAATTTGTTTTAAATTTAATTCTGAAATTGTTTGTTACTTTTCTCTTAGGCAAACTACAAAAGTTCGAGGTACCCGCGGCCATTACGCTGTGCAAAGAGGTTTGGTCACCAGACATGGGTCTGGTCACAGCCGCATTCAAACTGAAACGCAAGGACATACAGGATAGATATCAGCACGACATCAATCGCATGTACGCTTCATGAAAGTTAATGTGCTGAACTGGCACATGCTCCGATTAGAAGAAGCTTAACAAGCAGCTGCAATGGCCACGAACCGGACTACATAGGTGCCGTACTAAATCTAAATAATTAGTATGGAAGAAGCTGCACACCAAGACATACACACCCATGCTTGCAATATAACCAAACTAGCCTAAGCCAACACGTAGTAAATGGTCTTAATCAAAAATCTGGGCATGCCAAGAAACATTTCAACTTCGCATATTCTTTGTTTAGTTTGTTTGTCAAAGAAGTCGAGTGAAGCGCTTTTTGGCAGGTATTTTAGTTTGGTTAATAATAGTTGATATTTAAATGCTGCTGACCATACGGAAAACCTTGAGAACTATAACTATTGTATGTACAGTTGCGTTTTAAGTACATTCGAGAGGCAAAGCGCGTTACAGAATAACACAGAAAACAATACTTATTTTTATATAAATCAATAATCTTAAGCTTAAGTGGTTGCCTAATAATTATGTACATGTACATACATATACTATTCACGATATATACCTTTATACATACATATATATATACACAATATAGTATATTGTGTAAGCTAAGTTTAATGTCAAATTTGAAGTAAAATTATGAAAAGTTGCTGATGGATTAAAGCAAAATCATGAATGTTGTTGGCAAATCCTTTTTCTTCGACGCACTTGTAGCGCAGATCTAAACCCTCCATAAATTATTATATTTTATACGAAAAGCTGGCGGGAAATATATTTTAGCGCAATTTAGTTAAAGCAAAGGAACGAAAGGGCGTTGTAAAGGAAACCAATCGGATCAAGAAGAAGAAAGAAAACTGCAGCAAATGAAAGACTTAGTATGTACTAAAATAATTAAAACAAAAAAGCACGAAAACAGGCCGTCTACCAGGCCTAATTAATACAAAAAAAAAAAAAAAAAAAAAAAAAGTATATATAAACTCTAAACATCCTGTTTTCTTCGATGTTTAATACATTTTTGAATATGTTTTAGTCATACCTTTAGTTAAATATATACCGTTTAGGCACCTTTATCAAGTTTTTATGAGACGTTGCGTTTCTGGAAAAAACAAGAGGGTTTTAAATTAAATTTGAAATTTCGTTTGTGTGTAATATAGAATTTAGTGTATTCAGTGGACATGCAAGTTGATCTTCATATGTATGAGGATGTTGTATCGAAAATTTTATCTATCATGATTCATTTATGTAAAATATATAATAAGTGTATTACTATATTGTAGCAAACCATTAAGTATGACAAGTCTAATTGAAGGAAAAGAGAACTATGAAGAGTTATGAGTAAATGTAAGTAAGAAAATTGCATAATTGTATATTTGAGCGTAAAAATAATGAAATAAATCAATAAATATCGCAATTTTTGAAATTGAAGAGCATTCAGTATTTTCGTTACATTGACTTATTTTCTGTAGGCGTATTTTTTTACTCTTTACTAAACAAGCTGAACACCCAGAAGGTAGCTTCGCACCAAGCTTTATGCTATTCTTAGCTACATATGTTTATAGTATGATCATGAATCCAATTTTCGTCTCTCTTTCAATCACAACTCCTCCAACACTAATGTTTGCTAATAATACTTTCAACAAGAAATCACCATTTCGATTTTCCAACCCTCTTCAAAACGTGCTCTTCAAGTTTATAAAACACCCATATCGGGAGCATCTAATTAGTTGTTCACGTGTTGGGTGGTAGATTAATAAATGCATGATTGCTTTTTTACAGTTGAAGAAAAAAGATCAAATTGGTTTGTATGTGTTTGACTCTTCATGGAGGACTCCTACGTCTCATTTATGTCTCTTTGCTTTAGTCAAATTTCTTAATGGATTTTTTGTATTAAAATACATATTACTGATATAAATGTTATACATATTTCTCTGTAGCACTCGTTTTGGCAATCAAGTGTGGTATGGGCTCATATTAAGTATGCGCCTAGTACCACATAACATTTTCTAGATATGTTCGGATTTTTAAGAGTTGCACACATTTTAAGGACCATCAAACGTTTAGTCAGAGTTGGGAAAAAATTTGAAGGCGGAGACAGTATTCGGATGGATAATTAACGTATAAAATTAGCCGCTTAACTTGGCATTCAGGGAGGTTGTGTGTGGGGGTCACGGCATGTCGTTGATGCGTTTACACTTGATTGTGGGTATTACAAACACTCCCGTTCAGAGAGATAAGGCGACGATTTGCACTTTGGATTCATGTTGGCTTTTAAGGCTTCCCTGCTGTGGGCGCGCACAGAATCCAGGCATACACCCATGTCTCTGCATCCGACTGACTGTTGTTTGTTTGCGCAGAGTACCTTTGTGCATTTTAATAACATTAAAAATTGTTAATGTTTTTTGCACCGGGCACCGGGTGTTTCGCTTAAGTGCCCTGACACACATTTGTTATGGTTACAAAAAGTGTAGCACACCTTCAGGCAAACAGACCCACTTCAATGAGCAACGCGTCGGTGCCCCTGTCTCCTCCCGGCTTCTGGCGTTGCTGGCGACAGCATCGCGACGTCCACTAATGCAACAAATAAATCATAAAAAAAATGCTAAGCGCTGCTTGCAAGTTGGCTTCGGTAGACATTTTTCAACAAGTTTTTCCGAGGGCTTTTAAGCTGCGCTGGTCAGGCATTACGAAATTTATGGCACTTCTTGCGTGTATAGTGTAGTCTGCTTTCAGGCGCTACTCATGTGCGCATAGTAAATTAGAGTTTGGCCATAAAAATGACTGCTAAGGAGAGGAAGGGCTGCCAGTCTCAGGAATAACTTCAACTACAAATGATTGCCATGGCACTAATAAAATTAATAGACTGTAACACACACACACATATGTGTAGCTTAAGTATGGGACGCACATAAACATTTCAAATGATTCGTTAAGCATTTCATACGTTACGCTCAATGGATTTTCGATGATTGTCCGAGTTAGCTGGCAGCGGCACAAACGACCCCATACGATTACTATAAGTATATCGCCAGATGAAAATGTCAACGCAAATGAGAGAATCTGGCCAGAGGGACCGAATGAAACCGCTTATTGGGTCAACAAACGCATTTGTTTGCCTGATGTCTGGGTCGAAAAGTGAAGGTCTGAGTTGCAAATCATGGAAGAAATAAAATTGGTTCTTCAGCACAAATATTTTTTATTGCTAAGGAGCTGGCTAGATACAAAAATCCGTTAATAATAAAAATTAAAAGAAGAAAAATGTTAAATTGTAATGATTGTAATGGAAAAGAAAGGAAAAATATTGAAAATGTAATAAATTTCACTTTTCTATGTATTGCAGAACTTATTATGCCATTCACAATCCTTTTCGAGTATTATGCTCTAATTCTCTTACTGCCTCACCTAATTCTAATATTTTGACCTACAACCGATAGAATTTCTGACCAATACCGCTGTAATTTAAGCTTGATTCTCCAATTTTTAGTGTATCCCTGACCTCTCATGGCTGTGATTTATTTTGCTCATTAATTTTGCTTAATTTAATAGTAAAATAATATTTAAATGCCTTAATTTAATTTTACTTTTAATTTTGTCTGAAGTTTCTGCCTTTAAAGGTCGTGGATATTTTACAAGCGAATTGAAAGTTAATTTCCAAAAGTCAAATTAACAACCATATTAGTAAATGTACATTATTTCTTTCAAATTAGGAACTTAGGGTGCGTTACTAAAATCTAAAGTCCAACTAAAAAGAAAAGAAGCCCGGGAAACTTCTGTTAAGACCCAGTAACAATGAGCATGTTTTTTTTTTGTCTGTTGCATTTTAAAGCCTCCTATGACCAAACAAGCTATATCTTTAAGCTGACAGCTGCTCGGAACATAGTAAGAATGTATGCGTATGGGTTTGCTGTCAAATTGAATATGTTTATCAAAAATGCATTGAAACGAAGCCAAAAGCACTCCAAGCGCAAAGCACAAAAGTGCATCTGTCTCAGAAATGCAGCTCCAGTGCAAATGTGTAACTTAGTTTGTGACTCTGTTACGCTGTGTCTGCATTTGTGGGAGCGTGTTTGTGTGTTTCTCTGTTTTGAAATACATAGTTGACAAACATAAAAATTTCCATATAGAGTTAGCTTCAGCAGTTTTGTTTATACTCTCGACTTCATTTGCATTTTTACTGCAAATTCAAATTCGATTTCAGCTTTGTTACAAACGCATATTTTCCCAACCAATTGGCCAACACACATACTCGTCCATCAGCTGAAAATGAAGGCCATGAAGCCAGATTTCAAAAATGCTCGCTTCTGTTGTTGCTTTTAGTTTTTATTAGCCCCCACATTGTCCGTTGGCCTACATGGGCAGAGGGAAGGAGTGAAGAAGGTAGTCGGAGCCTTTAATTTTGAATGTCATCAGCTCTAATGTTGAATCACTTAATTCCATGTGACTGCTTGTTGTTGGTGTTGTTGTTGTTTTTGCTTGCTTTGTTCACTTACGTTTCATTTCCGCTGACTTTGTCGGACACATCCGCCTGATATGGCGTCTGATTTCCGCTTAACGCTTCAGCGCATTGCACTGCACTGCGATTGACAGTGGCGTATGTGTGTGTGTGTGTGTGTGTATGTAGGACAGCGTCTCAAGGTGTCCTTCAAAGTGAAAGTTTACGCTCGGTTGGGCTGCCTTTCACAAAGTTCTGCTTAAACTTGTCCACAGTTGATGCTGCTGCAAAGGCACATAACTATTTTCTTTACTTTCTCTCTCATGTGTGTGTCTGTGCATGTGTATATGTGTCTGTGTATGTTTATGAGTTTGTGTTTGTGTGCGAGACTGCTTTTGGCAATTCAATTTACCAAATTAAATTCAATTTCATTTCAATTGCAATTGCAGTTTTTTGTATACAAGTATCATTATTATTATTTGCCTTTAGGGGCACTCTACTGGCCTTGAACTTTTCTCTCAAACGTATCGACACACACACACGCATATGCTTAGAGTAAAACCAGTGAGGTTTGGTTAAATTAATTTCACATTTGTGTCTGCATTAGATGTACATTTTCCGATGAAATAAAAATGTCAATGATTTATTAGCCAACAACACTATTCTGTTGACTATTCATAAAATTTGGTTTGCAATTCTTAATTACCAAATGTACCAATTTCTTTTCAATTTCAATTTCAACAGAGTATGACCATATATTGGCATATTCTCATGCAAGTGAAGGCTAAAGAAGAATCATTTAGACAGTTGTGTTTGTTTTGGAAGCCATATCTGTGAACTACAAGTACTCGCATTTGTTATTGTTTAAATACTATAAGTCAACATTTTCGCATTTAAAATAAAATCGCGCATGAATTTTCAATATTAACATAAAATAATCCCAAATTGTTTGCAATTGGCATAAATGTGTAACTTGCAATTCAATTCGTATTAAGTGTTATACACAAATACTGGCTGGTAATGCCAGAGGGTTTTTTGTGGCGATATTTAATATGGAAAAAATCTGACTTTTTGAGTTTGGATAGAATCACGTTTCGTAGCCGTAATTCCTTCATTGCAAAAGTTTTAAAAGTGTTTCGAGTTTTTTAAATTTTAATTTTATTAATTTCGCATTTTCCTTTATTAATCTGCTCTTTGTGCAATTGAATTATTTCCAATTAAAAACATGAAATACCTATTCTTTTGTCTTCAATGTGTTTTACATTTGAACATTTTCGTGAAAAACAATAAGAAGAGCACGTTTTAATTTGGAATTAACTTTTCTAAGTGAAAACCAGTTTGATGTACAGTCGAAAAGCCATAATTGTAGCTCAAGGAATCTTTCAATATTTTGCTATAAAATTTCGTGTATTAGTCTTAACAAAAAACGAAGTAGGTAAATATTAAAAAACAAGATTCATAAACCCCTCCCGCAAACTATGACCCGACTGACGGCCGTTGTGGCCAGGGATTATCTCCAAAAACGGACGAGAAGGTGTGTTATTTTTTGTTTTTGTTGGCGTTGGTGCAGGGTATTTAAGAGTTGAGCACATTCGACTCTAGCGTTCCTTTCTTGTTATTACCATTTTATTTTATAAACTA